CCTTATTACCGGGGCTACGGGTGGGGGGGATCCGGCCCGTGGGGTAGGAGACTCGCCATGCCCTCAGCAGCGGGGCTGGGGGGGATTACCGGGGCAGGGGTGGTGGGGAGGGCACGGGAGGGGAGGGGGAAGCGTTACCCGGACTGTGAGTGAGGGGGGCCCTGTCTGTGGGGCGGGAGACCCTCGGATGCGCCAGGGAGAGGAGGGGGGCGGTGAGGGAGGAGAGGGGGGGCGGTGAGGGAGGGGGTTCCCCGAGGTGGTGGTGGGGGTGTCGGTGGTGCGGGGCCGGCCGTGACGGTTCCCCCCGTGTCCCCCCGGCAGGGCTGAGCACGGAGAAGGCCGTCGCCTTCAGCCGGCGGCTGCGGGCCGAGCCGCAGTTCCTGCTGGCCCAGAACGTGGCGACATGCAACGACCCGCTGGAGGTGTGCCTGCAGCGCCAGGTGGTGCAGGATACCGTGCAGGTCTTCCAGCACGCCGTGCCCGCCGAGGGCAAGCCCGTCACCAACCAGAAGAACTCCGGTGAGGAGGGTCGGGGGGAAGTCGGGCCGGGGGTGGCGTTTGGAGATTGACTGGTAACACTGACTGTGCTTCTGGGAGTCCTTTGTCCGGCCTCTAGAGCAAAGCTGAATCCCTGCAGCATCTCCCGAGTTAATGACAGGCTTTAGACTTGCAGCGTTTCCCTCTCTTTCCTCCTGTAACCGAGACCTGTGCTCGCAGTGAGAGATTTCAGAAGCCCTTCAGAGCTTTTTGGTGTGGTGCACCAGCCCTGGCCAAAGGCTGGAGGCAGAACTGTGTCATGGATCTCGTGGTAGAAGGGATTGTTGTGCAGCTCCTGAGTACAGGCGTTCCGCTTTAATCCTGGTTCCTTTGATCTCTCAGGGAGATGCTGGATCTTTTCCTGCCTCAACGCGATGCGTCTTCCTTTCATGAAGAAATACAACATCGAGGAGTTTGAGTTCAGCCAGTCCTATCTCTTTTTCTGGGACAAGGTACCGTCGTCCAGGTTGTGCTGGGGTGGCTCATGCAGTCAGGTGCTGGTGTTGGGACGGGACATCTTTTAGGCTGGGTTGTTTTAACGATACATCTGGAAAAAAGAAACTTGAAAAGTTCTTTAAAAACGTGTGTTAAATGCAGGTCGAGCAAAGTGTGACTTTCACCTGGAGAAGAAAGTTGTCAAGGCGTTGATGTTTTGGAATAGTAAAAGTCTTTTTTTTTCAAGTGTTACTTGATATTTCAGGAGTTACTTGATATTTGATAAGTTACTTGTTGGAGGCTCAGGGGAAACAGGACTGTCACTCATGCTTGTGACCGGCTGTGTGTCTGCTTGTCCCCCTAAGGGAAATCAAGCGAATCTAGTGCTAGTTTGGGCCAGGCTTCATTGCATAACTTATGTTTCACATTTCCTGTTCCCCTACCCTCAAGCTCTGAGCTAACTCACTCCTAAATGTTTGCTCTGTAACAAAGATGTAGCCCCTGGAATGCTAGAGGGGTGAAAATAAGGATTTCAGTGGATGAGCAGGAACCAGCTTCATCTGTTTTGTACTTCCAAACAACTTGAATATTCAGCAATTAATTAATATGTCAGGCTTAAAAGGGTTTCTTTCCCCTGTGTGTTTCAGGTTGAGCGTTGTTACTACTTCTTAAATGCTTTTGTGGAGACAGCCCAGAAAAAGGAGCCAGTGGAAGGAAGACTGGTCCAGTTCCTGCTCTCCAACCCCACCAATGATGGAGGACAGTGGGATATGCTGGTTAACATCATTGGTAAGAGAACTGGTTATTAGGAGCCCTTCCTGAAGTTGCACAGTGGTTTGAGATGGGGAATGGAACAGAAGAAGAAACTGAGTTTGAGACCTGGGAATTTGCTAAGGAACACGATGCCATTAACCACTGCCTTTTCTAACCAAAGACCTTTTTTATGTCAGGCTTAAATTGTCTTGCATTGCTTTAGCATATTGTTGCTGATGATAAAAGCTCAGAAGATCAACAGAAATAATTAGATATCCCAGACTTCCCATTGTGTAAAAAGGTTCAATCCCTTTTTACTCCAGTGGTCAACTCAACACTGTTTATTTGTATCCATGTGGACAATTTTTAGGGCACAAGGTAAGGAAAAAACAGGACTACACTTGGGTGTGTCTACCAGGCAGGAGCAAAACTACTTGGAGTTGCAGCCTGAAGTGGGTACAGAGACCAGTGAGAGGGAATTGATGCGGAATGTGGCAGTGCTGGTCTTACAAAGATCCAGCACAAACGGGATCCTACCCTGATGGAGAAACTTAATTACACCAGCACTTGCTTTCCTTTGTGTTGTGAAACAATGTGACACCTTTTGTAACTCAACAAGGCAGTAACAGATATTTAGAATCACAAAAGGAATTTGTTTTCTTTGAAGCCTGGAGGTTCCTTTTTTCCCCCCCACCCATTTGTTATAAATACTTAATCAGGGCAAAGAAGATTTGGGATGCTGCAGTTACATCCAGAGCCTTGCACGGTGGGATCTGTGATTGGTACCACAATGTAGGAAGCAATTGAGCTGCTGCTGGTATTTTATAAGTATTGAGGAGGAAAGGAGACCAGGAAGTTAAGTCAGTCAACTTTAGATAAACTACGTGGAGTGATTCATAGGAGGCCCAGTTCTTTAGAAGGTATTTCAGGAGCTTATTTTAAAGTAATCAAGTTGGGGGTTTTTTATGGTGAAAAGAACTTCTTTAAGCACTAATTAGTTTAGAACTTTCAGGTGTTAAATTAAATGATACTCAGCAGTTCAGGGATTCCACATTCTGGGACCCCTGTGGAACGTGGTTCAGAGGTCAAGATTCAGTCACAAATTAAAATGTAAACTTGGGTTACTTGTAACCTTTAAGGAAGAGATTTTCCCTTATCTCTGCACAAATCCAAACTCTCTTTAGCTTTAACATGGGTATAAGCAGAAGTATGAGCATCTGTTGTGTGGGAAAGCCAATTCTTAACCTGTGGTTTTATGTCTTTTAGAAAAGTACGGTGTTGTCCCCAAGAAATACTTCCCAGAGTCTCACACCACAGAGGCTACTAGGAGGATGAATGAGATCTTGAATCATAAGGTAAAATTGATTTGGGTGATATAAGGACTGGGAGGGGATGGGAATGAATTCCTGGCCAAGATTCCTTATCTTTACTGACCAAAGTGTTAAGTGCATCTCAGCAACTTAAACTTATTTGCAAGCAGCCTAAAGTCTCACCAGTCTGAGGTTAATCTTGGAGCAGGAAGGTGA